GGGTCACCTGGGGGGACACACGAGGGGACATGTGACCTGGCACTGGAGGTACAGGGTGACGAGGGGAAATGTGAGGACATGGAGGGGAACACACAAAAACACGGAGTGGGGGCATTGGCGGGCTGGGGGCTGGGACAGGGGGCACCCAGGACACGTGTCCCCTCACCCCCCCCTCCCCGATGTGACCATCCCCATCGTTGTCCCCACAGCCACGTCCCACCTTGACCTTGTCACAGGCCCCCCAGGGCCAGGGGGGGCCCCCGCGACCCCCCAGCATCATCAAGGTGCCCAGTGCCATCACCCTCCCCGTGCAGACTCTGGTTTCGGGGCGCCCAGGGACCCCCACCCAACCCTCGCCACCCCCCACCAAATTCATCGTCATGTCATCGGCCTCGGGGACGAGTGCGTCACAGCAGGTACCACCCGTGGGGACATTTTGGGGACATCGGGTCTGTCCCTGAGGTGTGTTGTATGTGTCGTGTTCCCCCTCCCCCCCCCAGCCCCGTCCTTGGTGTCTCTTTCTGGGGTGTCCCCAGGGCTGTGACATGGCGGTGTCATCCCCGGTGTCCCTGATGGTCTCCGTCATAGTGGCATCAGTGGTCACTGTGTCCCCCCCGGGCCCCTTGTGGTCGCCACCTCCCCACACTGTCCCCATGTCCCTGTACCCCCCACGGTCCCCATATACCCCCACGCTGTCCCCATGTCCCCACACTGTCCCCACGTCCCCATACCCCCAATGGTTCCTGTACCCACCACGCTGTTCCCATGTCCCCGTGCCCCATGCTGTCCCCCTGCCCCACAGGTGATCACCTTCAGCACCAGCCCGGCGCCCACGGCCACCTCCCCTGTCACCACCACTGTCCCCAGCGTCCAGCCCGTGGTGAAACTGGTGTCGGCGGCGCCCACGGTCCCCAGTGCCACCGTCACTGGCAGCGTCCAGAAGTACATCGTGGTGTCCCTACCCCCCACCGGTGACAGCAAGGGGGGCACTGGGACGCCCACGGGTGCCACCACCCCGGGACCCCAACTGTCCCCCTCTGCCACCACCTCCCCTGCTGCCGCTGTCCCCTCCGCTGTCACCCCCAAATCGGAGCCTGGGGACAGTCCCCAACCGCCCCCCCCATCCTTCGGTAAAGCCAACGGGACCCCCGGGGCAGTGGCACAGTCCCCCCAGTCTGCCCAGTGACCCCACTGAGACCCTGCTACTGGGGACGGGGGGTTGGCTCGGGGGTCCCCCAGCATCCCTGTGTTCCCCTGGAGTGTCCTGGGACCCCTCTATGGGGACACAGAGGTGACCCGGGGGAGCCTCAAAGTGTCCCTGGGGGTCCCCTAGTGTCCCCATGTCCCCCCCAGTGTCCCCATGTGACCTAGGGGATCCCCATGTGTCCCTGGGACCCCTCTATGGGGACACAGAGGGTGGCCTGTGTCCCCCCCGGTGTTCTGGGACCCCTCTATGGGGACACAGAGGTGACCTGGCGGGTCCCCCAGTGCCCCCATATCCCCCCACCAGTGTCCCAGGACCCCTCTGGGAGGGGGCGGGGGGGGCAGGGGTGACCTGGGTGCCCCACGATATCCCCAAGGGCTCTGGGATTCCCCCCCCCCGGGGACGGTGACTCCCCCCTGTAAATACCTGTACCTGCGCGCTGTAAATAACCCAATAAACTCCCAGTTCATCCCAGTGCAGCCCCTGTCCTTGCACGCGCACAGTGTCACACGAGCCCCAGGGCCCTGCACACGCGCCAGGGCTCGCGCGGGAACACGAGCCCCAGACGTCGCACGGGCGTTTGCACAAGCTGCAAACTTTGCGCGTGCATTTGCACGAGCCTGAGCGTCGCACGGGCGTTTGCACAAGCTGCAAACTTTCAACACGTTTGCACAAGCCCCAAATGTTGCACGTGCCTTTGCACGAGCCCCAGCATTGCATGTGCATTTGCACGGCCCTCAGCATCACACACATGCATTTGCACAAGCTGCAAAATTTGCACAGGCATTTGTATGAGCCCCTAACATTGCACGTGCCTTTGCAGGAGCCCCAGCATTGCACAGGGATTTGCACAAGCTGCAAACTTTGCACAAGCCGGAGTACTGCACATGTGTTTGCACGAGCCCCAAACTTTGCATGTGCCTTTGCATGAGCTCCAAGTATTGCACGTGCATTTGCACAGCCCTCAGCATTGCACACATATTTGCACAAGCTGCAAACTTTGCACGTGCCTTTGCACAAGCCCCAAATGTCACACAGCTGTTTGCACAAGCCTCAAACTTTGCACGTGCCTTTGCACGAGCCCCAGCGTTGCACAAGCACTTGCACGAGCCCCAAATGTCGTACATGTGTTTGCACGAGCCCCAAACTTTGCACCGACATTTGCACGAGCCCTAGACGTTGCACGTCCATTTGCACAAGCCCCAGCACTGCACAAGGGTTTGCACAAGCCCCGAACGTTGCACGTGCCTTTGCACGACCCTAGACGCTGCACAAGCGTTTGCACAAGCCCCCACCATTACCCAACCCTCCCCCCCCAGGGGAGGGCAGGGGTCGGGGGCGGGACCAGCCCCATTAAAACCAGCAGCTCCCAGTTCCCC